TTAGCAAGACAGTTGCTAGCACGCGTCAGAACCGAAAGTGTGCCAGTGTGTTATATTCGAGTTTAACAAAATTGGTTATTGATAAATTTAAACCACACACAAGAAGGGCCAAGAGCCCACACACACCACTGCATATTCAATCTACTAGAGTATCTTCAGCATGTCTGCATAATACTTCCAGTAGTGATTCCCCTGTTCTACAACTTAACTCTATGGGATTTCATCCGTAATTTGGTTGGTTTTAGTTTCCAAAGTTTGCCCTCCATCCGGGGAACTGAGTAAATTTATTGACAATGACCTCAGAGTGAACGACACCTTGTTTGTCGGTGATTTTGGCGGCTTGTTCAGTTTTGACGACCTACGGGTGATGGCAGAGTACTTAGCTTCGATCTTTGGTACAGAGAAGGATAAGTAAGCGTTGTGTCATCTTTTCTCTTATCGTTAAGGGTTAACTGCTCGTTTTATTTCAAAATCGGAGCGTGCCGCCATGGCGAACAGTGCTCCCGCCTTCACAATAAACCGACTTTCAGTCAAGTACGCCTTTCATACCCTAGTGATTTCTTTTAGACTATACTTCTTCTAAATCTTTATATTGCTCCGCACAACGCGACACAAACGGTAAGGATCAATTATCTTAATTTTCCAGACTCCAATCGGAAACATGACCGAAGTTCAAGCACAGCAATTTTTTGACGAGTTTTTCGAAGAAGTTTTCGTGGAATGTGAAGAAAAAGTTGGTTCTAAGCGTTGTGATATTGTTAACCTATTTAAGTATGGCGAAATCGAAGAGATGAACGTCTGTGATAACCTTGGAGATCATCTTGTTGGCAATGTCTATATTAAGGTACGTGGGTCAGGCGATAACCTTCAACTGTAGTTTCGCCGTGAGGCCGATGCAGAGAAGGCGGTGACGATGCTCAACAGTAGATGGTTTGGTGGCCGACCTGTCCACGCAGAATTGTCGCCAGTTTCCGATTTCCGGGAGGCGTGTTGCCGGCAGTACGAATTAGGGTTAGTGGATATATTTGCGTTACTTGCATTTTTATCTACATTTTTGCTCTGGCTTTTAATCAACGCGGTTTCGCTCTCAAAACTATCGAGATTGTTTTTTACTTATAAATTACAGACCTGGCGAATGCACATCTGGTCATAAGTTGCCAGCCGTATAGGGAGCTTTGTTCATAACGGCGTAATTGAATA